TTTTTTCATTTAACTTTTTACTTTTTCCTTTAATTGGGTTCTTTCGCTTTGGGCCAGCGATAGAACGATATTTATTTATTTATTTTCATTATTAATTATTAGGATCCTCCTTTTGTACGATTTTATTGATAAATAAAAAGTGTATAAAGGTGTTTTATATCCTTAAATCGACATCTACTGCGTAATCTTCAAAAAATGTCACGAAATTTCACGTGATATAATTTGTCACCGGTGTCACTTCCCTCTGCATTAAGTATTATTGGGACAGAGAATTTTTTTGGTAGTGAAATCCTATTTGTCACCTATAAACGTCACATGTGCGCCACAATTAATTCCAGCCATTTCGTGACATTTTTTGAAGATTACGCAAGAGAAGTCTCGCAAATCATACTGCGTCTCAGATGATCTCACATTGCATCAAATATCATGTTACATTTGGGGTGTTCCATCAACTACCAGTGGTTAACACTTTTTTGTATTTGTGTTTTTAGGAAATAAAATAGGTGTATTGTATTCAAAGGGTTCAGACAGTTCAGATAGAACAGTGTGTGTCTGCTGGTCAATATTCATATTTCCAGCTGATAAATAGTTGTAGTAATAGGGTTACCATTACGTTTTATTATCGTTGTACAACCTCAAAAGTATCAAGGGAACACTCATAATCGTTCGTGATCATCAGATAACTAGAGATTGCAATTAGCCTGGACTCATTACAATGCACAAAATATTAATAAATTTAAAGACCTTCCTTTTATTTTAAAAACGAGTTCTTCAATTTGTCATGATTCACTGGGGTGGTCAGTCAACCAAGTAAACAAAGCTACATGTGGTTATTTAACATTTAGCAGTAGCTTAAATTAATTTTTTTGATCGGAAATTTGACAACATAATATCAATAATAAACCTTATATAAATGCTAATTCATGTTTTTTTTAGATGCCCAGATCGAAAAGCAGCTTCTTTCCCAAATATTTTGGTATTAACTAGTTTTTATAAATTATGGTTACAAAATTACGAGGCTTTTATTCACGTAAACCAATAAACTCTCTACATTTAACATACTTAAAAATTCATCTATTTATTATACAAATGACTTGGTAACTTTGTTTTTCAGATTGTATTAATAATAAATTTCGAAAAATTAAACTATCTAACTATCTAATGAAGAATTGCAGATACCTATCAATGAAGAGGCATCTAAAACACAACGAACTCCATTAATATAACTTCTTCGGACCAGTTAATAATAAAAGTTTAAGAAAATTCGATTGAAAGGATCGACACAAAAAATAAAAAAAAATTACGTACAGTACTTGGACGAAAACAGCTCCTGTTTAGAAGGATCATATGATTTACTATATCTCGTGAGTATTAAAGTTAGGTATTATTGGTTTAGATATATAACAAATCAAATCGTATTTTTGCTTAATAATATTTGTTCCTTCTTTTCATTCTATGATTTCCATCCATCACCAAAAATGTATTCTTCTGTTTCATCCCCAATCCGAGTGGTGACAAAAAGATTTACGACCACGTGTCATTTTTTTTATTGAATAAATTTTTAGTTGTTTTGGAATATTTGTTATGTGTCATTCGAAACGTGATAACGATAAGACAAGGCGAATAATTATTACATTTTATTTTATATATTGACAATTAAATAATCACCAATCCGAATATTCGATGTGCTATCCCTGCAAATAGGCTCAAAAAACTTACTAATTATTAGAATTAATGTGAAATTTGACCCTATTGTCGTGAAATACATTATCTGATTCCAAGAGAAAATGTGGAATAGGAGGAAACAAACAGTTAGATTACGAGACATCCTATTTAGTAGATTTTCAAAAAGAAATTATTTTAGCTTACGAGAATAACGAATTGAGACACGTCTTCAAGTAAAACCATAATTAAACCAAGCATTTCTTTGCATTCTCGCATTAGATACATCCAAGTGTAAGAATTTCGATGCCAGTGGCAATCAGAAGTATTGCATCACCCGAATACAAAATTTAAAATGGTAATATCTTGTAATTAAAAAGGCGCAGTGTTACAAAACTTAAATATGGAGTTCGCCATACCTAATCTTTATCAATCTCTTTCATCTTTTTTTTGAGATTTTTTTTTTTTTTTTTTTTTTTTGTTATGGATCTGTCGCCACAGTGGCGATGCATTTCTTTTGATCGATTTAAGAAATAAACATCTGCACATATTACGCGATTTTTTTTTGCTCCAAAACAACTATGCGGCACATATAAAAAAGATGCCTTATCTGATATTTATATAATTCATTGTTTACGTCGTTGATTAGAATCGAAAAGTTAGCTTTTTCTCTTAACAAAAAAAAATATCTTTTATTTCCTTTCGTGTTTCGTCAACCTTCCCAGCCTGTTTCTTTAAATTTATGTTTATATGGTAGAATGAATATCGCTAATATAATTCGGTCACAAAGCTAATTATTTATGGCGCAGCGATTTCCGAACTTTTTTTTTTAGGCTCGGGAATTCAGAACATTAATTTTTGAAATTTAGAACCGGGTCCCAACTTAACGATCCCATGAAAATTATCAATATTTAAAAAGGAAAGATCGTGACGATGAAGAAAAAAGAATTAATCATTAATAAAAGAATTTTAAAAAAATAATTTATTAATTTTTTTTTATTATATAATAATTTAAATTATAGCGAGCGAAAATCGAAAAAATACCCAAAAATTTTCAATAGTATCTATTATCACTGTTAACCATCACAATGATTACAATCGCCACTAGTTTTTCCGGAATCTGGTGAAGGGGCACAACTGTAAGAGTTGCAACCATTTGGAAATGCAGAACATCGGATAGTCGATTCATTGATGCAATCTCCTGAATTTATACTCCAACCGTTTTCATTATTTTTACAGTAATCATAGTGCCAGTAATCAGCAAAGTTAACAAATTTCTTAATATTATCTAAAGACATCGGGTTTATAATTAACACCCCCGAATACACAATTGTTGTAATGTATTAACTGACCACAGTCAAATGAACCACGAACATAGCAAGTATTCTCCCATCTAGTCACTTTAACTTGTGCCAAGCAACATTTACCACAGAGATCTTGATTTACGTGGTTGCAATAGGTAAGACCATAATGATTGAGGATGGTGCTTGCCACTGCTGCATTAAGAGTAGGCTGTACAAAGTTCCTAACATCTAAACTACCAAAATTAACTAATTCGATGGCCACATAAAAAGGTGCTGCAAGCCATTTAGATGAAGGAGTGAATACATCAATATTTCCATTAACCGTATTGGGTAATTTATCAATAATCTTTTTCAAAAAAGAATCTTTATCTTGACCAAAATTTTTAAAAGTATTCTTCATTGTACCACTGGCATCAAAAGGCACTTTATAGTAAAAATCTTTTATTGATACGGTTCGTTTTAATGGGGCTCCATTTTTATCAAGAAAAGTTGGTTGATCTATTGAAAAAAAAAAAATTGAGAATATATTCATTTTTAAAAATATACCATCTAATCGATAACAGTATACACATACCAGAAACCGAGTCAACAAAGATTGTTCCTACTTGGAGTAAATTCAATTTAAAATGATCAGTTAATAACTGTAGTGTGCCAGAAATATCATAAGAAATTGATTCATCCGGTGCATGATTATAGAATGGAGCAAAATCGGTTAGGTGATTAACCATATTTTCAGTAAGGTTACTAAAAGAATATTTTAACCCTAGGTAGTGATTCTGATAAAAGGTAAAAGCATTATCTACTGTTGCAGCTAAAGATAAAGCAGCAGGTTTTTGTCCCATAAATGGCCATCGATTCCCATCATTTTCAAAATTAAAGATAGTACTAGGATCATACATTTTATCGGAATAAGCGCGGAGACAATTATAATTATTTTTAACATCTTTGCCGGTTATAGCGGTGTTGTTGTCTATGTTGTAATTATTTTTACAATAATGCATAGCAAGGTTAAAGGAAAAAGGATAATCTGGATTAGGAGTTTCTCCAACACTCAAAACTTTGGTGTTCAGATCAACTCGCCACGTGTTTGGGTTGCCCGTACAGGTATAAGGAAGCTGTTTACTAGCAACTGGCGTAACTTTCCTTGTAGAATTATCTACCTTTAGGTCAAATGACCAACCACAATTATCTTGACACCCATACATAGTGACATTGAGTACAAACCCATCTGAGGTTTGATTATCGGTTGTTATTTTCTTGACCTTTGTAGAATTCGTATAAAAGTGAGCGTCGTGCTCGTTGATGTGGATTACATCATCAGTAAAGGTGGTGTCGCATATTTTATAGGATAAACCTACGGTAATCCAAGCATGAACCGATGAAATAATGGTTAAAATCAGAAACGTCAATGTGATGAATGTTTTACTCTGCATTTTTTAACAAATGGATTTGATTATATTGAATGAAAAAAAAAATCTGTTGAAAAATTACATTCTATATATGTTTCGAGATCGGCAAAGATTTACTTTTTTTTCCTTTTATTTTATGTATGTCATACATGTCGGTCACTATCATCTCTGGTGTCATTCTATTTGAAACTAATTCATTTTAATTTCAGATTAAATGTATATAACTAGTTATAAATTTAAATTTAGAAAATGGAGACTGAAATTGATTTTCGTCTGAAAGTTGTCTGAAATTGAGATTCCAATTTCAGTCACAATAAAGCGCCAAAAATTTAATGAAATACGGATAGTATACACATTTTTAATGAGGTAGAGGATCTTCTAGATCTTTTTTTTTTTTTTTTTTCTTACAAAATATTAATTCGATATGCCGCAATAAGGCTTATTTCTTTTTATTTTTATTCTAATCATTGCTTTTCTTTTTAAACTCCTTCTTCAGGTTCGTAATAAAAAGTTTAGTTCAGCTACTTGCTATAGAATTCTATTTAAAAATTAAAAAAAAATTGCTTTCTTTTATTTGAAAAATATATGTATCTAAGAATTTTGGACAAATTAATCTTTTATTTTAGTCTTCGTGATTTTATTATATTAGTTCTCTAGGAATTACTTATTACAGATGAAAGCGCTAAGATATAATCTTGAAGTAAGTACGTAATTTCTATAAGTTATTTGTTACTTTTAAAAAAACATAAAGTACAAATATTTGTGAATGTTCCAATCCGTAACAAGAATATATATTGGTTGGCACGGTTAAACGAAAAATTTACTCAATATTGCTAATTACTGTCGATCATTTAAAAGAACTGGAATCTACCAGAGAAAAAGCAATTTTACTTTTATGATTTTCAGGCCGAGATATGTTCAGATTTAATATTATCTCATTTTTTTATTTTTCCGACAGTTCTATTGCAAAGGTTCCCCAAATTAATTTATTTTATATATACCTTAAAAAAAATAACTGTCAGATGATATTATTACTTAATCCTGACGACGAAGCAAATCGAGCAATAATAACAAAAATTCGCAAGCAACTTTATACATTAATTGTTGTTATTTTTCCGTTTAGTTATCATTATCTCACTGTCCGCAACAGCATATTTCTTCTTCTCAATATCATTGGAACGACGGATGTGGTTATTGTAATTAAAGACAACTACTACGTTCTCAATATTGCAGGTCACGTTCAGTTAAATAGACCGGGAACCTGGCACAGGTTCAAAGTTCCAATTCTTAATTCTGGCAAAATAATAACATATTACTGTAAGATTCGTTAACCAAAGCTAATTAATATTGGGCAAAAATGGTTGGCACCGCGTCAAAAATATAAAGTAATAGACTTATGGGTAAAATTTTATTATAAAGTTTAATTTAATAATTAGATTTTGGGTTGAAACTTAAAACTCGGATCATTTTCATATTAAAACTAGATTAGGTTGGTGTGTGGCGACTTCGTCCCCGCTAAATATGGTTATTATACTGCTTTCTTAATATTTAGTTGTGAAATATCCTTGCTTAAGTTATCGCCGTGATGAGCCGAAGTATCCATCCGAAGTTCCGCGCCCGCGTTTGTCCGAAAGGGCGGAATCGGCCCTAACCTACAAAATCGAAAAAAAGCCATTAGCTGTGATTATTAATCAAAGAAATAAGTAAAATAAATAAGGGCTCCGTTACATTTTTATATTTTATTTTAAATTTTAATCAAGTACTGTTCCTTTTGTACCTAATTCCTTTATTATTTCTATTCTTCGTGTTTTTTTTTTTATTTTTATTTTTATTTTTTTTTAAAGAAAAATAAAGGAAATGGAAATGGAAAGTTTTTCTTGAGAGCTGTCCGAAAGTATTTTTTTTTTTTTATCTTTTTTTTTTTTTTTTTTTTTTTTTTTTTTTTTTTAGGCAATTATTTGGAATATTATCGCAGAATTTGGAAAGAAATAACAAGAATTCAGAGTTATGAAGGAAAAATCAGTAAGAAACTTCTTATCAAAATCTATTTTAAATTATGCTAAATTTCATATGTTATTAGTGTTGTTACTGAAATTTAACTGAAATTGGAATTCCAATTTCAGACAGCCTTTTTGTTATCTGAACTAGACTAAATCAACTGAACGGAAAGCGCGTATCAATGTGTTAAAATGATAATTGCTAATTATTTATTCACCACTTGTCATTCGATATACAAGCCCCCTTCAAAGTACTCTAGATATCAGCAAGATGGACGACCCGAATGATAATTCGGATGATGTCTCCAATGGTGTCCAAATCTGAATGTCGAGAGACGAATAATCTTCAACTAATTA